TGTAATTCCACGCCTTGGGAGGCTGAGGTGAGTGGATTGCCTGAGCCCATGGGTCTGAGACTCGCCTGTTTTTATTTTTTAGAGACAGGATCTCACTCTGTCATCCAGGTGGGAGTGTCATGATACAACCATAGCTCACAGCAGCCTTGAATTCCAGAACTCAAGGAATTCGCCCACCTCAGCCCTCAGCCTCCCAAAGTGCTGAGATTATAGGCATGAGCCATCACACCTGGCCTAAAAATTTTTAATATCAAAGTAAAAGTTTGGCCAAGCCCAGTGGCTCACACCTATAATCCCAGCACTTTGGGAGGTGAAGGCAAGATGACTGCCTGAGCCTAGGGATTCAAGATCAGCCTGGGCAACTTGGCGAGACCTCATCTCTACAATCAATCAATCAATAAATAATTAGCTGGGTGTGCTGGCGCATGCCTGTAGTTCCAGCAACTTGGAAGGCTGAGGCAGAAGGCTCACCTAAGTCCAGCAGATCAAGGCTGAAGTGGCATGAGCGTGCCACTGCATTCCAGCCTGGGTGACACAGTGAGAATACGACACAAAAAAATAAAAAGTAAAAAAGGAAATGTTCATAAAAAACCTGGAATACACAGCAAAATATAAATTATCCATAATGTTATAATTGAGAAATAACCACTCTCAGTATGCTGGCACACTACCTAATCCATTAAAACCACTCGACACAGCTGACATACCATAATGGGCACCTTTCCTGAGTTTCCCACCTAGCATGACGTGGTAGCCTTTCTCCCATGAGTGGAAGCTTCAGAAAGGAGCTCAGGACCCCAAAGGCAGACCCAGCAATAAGGATACAGATGAGGAAGCCCCAAGAGGGTCTTGGGGAGGTGGGTTCCTTCAGTGGGAGCCCCATAGGTCAGACCCAGGAAGGGCCCAGCCCCCAGAACTGCCATCTGGAGCAGCCACCACATGACAGGAGCTTTCTACACAGCTGCCTCTGCACAAGTTCTCATTCTCCAACCATGAAACCTCCCATTTGGGGAGTGGCCAGGACAGAGCTGCTTCCTATAAAAACCCACAAGAGAGCCAGGCATGGTGGCTCACGCCTGTAAACCCAGCACTTTGGGAGGTGGAGGAAACAGGACTGCCTGAGCCCTGTTGGCTCAGCTTAGGAAGACCAGCTTGGGAAACTTGGTGAGACCTTGTCTCTGCAGTAAGTTTAAACAAATTAGCTGGGCGTGGTGGTGTGTGCTTGTGATTCTGGCTACTCGGAGGGCTGAGGTGGAAGGATCACCTGAGCTCAGGAGGTGGAGGCTGCAGTGGCCATGAGCGTGCTACTGCACTCCAGCCTAGTCAACTAAAAAAATTAAAAACAAACAAAAAAACCCACGAGAGAGTTCTAGAGAAGTCAATAGTCTGCCCCACCTCAGCCAGTGCTGGACACAGGCGGGTGCCATGGAGGGAGGTCAGCTCTAGCTGGGACTGGGTGCAGGAGCCTATTGGGAGTCTGAGACTGAGGAAAGGGGGGCCGCCTGCCCTTCTGTCAGGCGCCAGAAATGAGATGGGTAAGTGAGGCGGGGTCTCCTGCTCAGGGGACGATTGGCTGTCTGAGTCTAGCCTGCCCACTGCCCCATGTGGGCCTCACACAACTGCAAGCAGTCTCTGCCCTTCTGGGAGAACAGTGCTCATAACCAGAGCCTCCCTGTCCATAGCCAGGACAGCCAGGTGTGCCACAGAAGGTTTCTCCCATGACTTGTCTGGAGGACAGTCAAGGCTCACTTAATGTCCCAGGGAACTTAGATCATCCTCACGTGGAGGTGTCTCCAGCCAAGAAATGCCCTCCAGAGAACACTGTGTTGCCTGTGAAGGTGACAGCCTCCCTCCTGGGGATGTGGACTCCGGGCCTTCCTCCTGGGAAAATCCAGCCTAGGGGGTGCAGAGACAGCTCTCACCCTGTAAACTAAAGCTGTGCCAAGGCCCCAGCACCATGGACAGGGCAGATGCCATGCGCCCAAATACCATGGCACCCCTGCTCCCACTGCCACAGCGCATGGCACGGCCTGTGTGGGGCCTTCGGGAGGGGCTGGGAAGCAGGCAGGCAGGCCTTTCTCACCCGTGGCCAGCCCTCCGGTGCCTGCAGACCTCCCTCTCGCCCTCAATGATCCACTGCATGATCTTCTGGTTCTTCTCCGTGTCCTCTGAAGGGCCTGGCACCTCAGCACTGGCACTCCTCCCGAACTCAGTCTTCTTGGCGTTTCTCTTGGAAGGCACGCTCACTTTCCCACTGCAAAAGTAAGACCCATGGTCGAGCCCAGCCTCTATGGTGGCTGTGCGCCCTCGGCCTGTGGAAGGGACTCTGTTGTCGCTCGAGGACCAGCCCACGTATTGCCAGTGCCTGCTCCCCATGTGTAGGTGGGGTCTGTTTCATCTTCAGATACACTGTAGGAGTTGGCGGAGTCAATACCCAGGGCTGGAGCAGGGTCGCTGCATCCCAAGACCACTTCCCACCCTGACACATTCTCCACGTAGCTGCCTGGCCTGAGCTCCCAGCAGAGGCCACTCCTGCCCTGGCAGCGCCCCAGGTTTCCTGTGAGTCAACAGGATGCTCTGGCTTCCCATGAGGACACACCCCCACTTCTTCCTGGGAAGGTCCTGGGGGACACAGGTGAGGGTGGAGAGAAAGCCACATGGCTGGCAGTATACTCACCTGTGGGCCAGGCCATCACTGGCAGTAGGGGCAGCACCCACACTCTCTGAGTAGCTGCGGGGCTTTGCCCCATGACCATGCGGCTCTGAACCCCAAGCAAAACTGCCGGGGGCCCTGCGGGTGGCCTCAGCCTCCTGTTCCTTGGGCCTGGCTGTGCTGTGATGGACGTGGTGGTGGACATGCCGGTGGTGGTGCAGGCCAACTGCATCCAGCTTCGCCGCTGACTTGGGCACGTGTTTCCCATGCCCAGAGACTGAAGCCCCCAGAGTTGCCATCTTGGCCACATGCCCACTGTCTGGGGAACGGTGGCCAGGCCCAGGTGACTGGCAGCCTGGTGTCCGCAGGACCCGCTGCACATGCTCATCCAGGATGCTCTCAGGGTTCTCCTCATGTGCATCTCGGAGGCCTGTGCAGCCCACATCCACGTAGCGGGGCGGGAAGTGGTGCCAGGCGGGGGCAGGAGGTAGCTTGTGAATCGCCCCTGGGGGGCCCAAGGATAGGTCACCATCCTCACCTTCCTCCTCCTGTGTGGGGACAAGGCAGCATTGTCACCTCCCAGCACCCGCCATGCTGGGAAAACTTTACACGTGGAGAAGCAAACAGATGGGCCTATGACCCTGGGTGCCACATGGCTGGGAGTCCAAGCGCTCCACTGATCCCAGTTCCCAGCGGGCTCAGCCACAGGTGGTAGGGCAGGAGGGTGGAGAGGTGGAACAAGGGCCGATAAATGTGGCCTGACTGCCATGCACAGGAGGCTCAAGGACACAGCACCAGCATCGGCCGTGGACACAGAGACAGTGTCACAGACTCAGCTTTCTATTTTTCTTTCTATTGAGTTTTTTATTCCTTCACTCTCCTGCCATGAACACACTCCACACTACCCCTTAGGAGGGAATACTGCCCTTCCACAGAGGCATGTCTTACTCCTGCATGCTGTGCTTCTTAAAATGTTCACACGTTAAGCTAGTGGAACCCTGTGACTCCTTAAGAGTTGGCAGAAGCCGGGCTCGGTGGCTCAGCCTGTAATCCTGCGCCTTTGGGAGGCTGAGGTGAGTGGATTACCTGAGCCTGTGGATTCGAGACCCGCCTGGGCAGGTGAGACCTCATCTCTACAATAAATCAAAAAATCAGCCGGGCATGGTAGCACGCGCCTGTAATTCCGGCTACTTGGAAGGCTGAGGCGGAAGGATAGCCGGAGCCCAGCAGGTCGAGGCTGTGGTGGCCAGGAGCGGCCACTGCACTCCAGTCTGGGCGACGGAGTGAGACTCCAACTCAAAAAAAAGAGAGTTGGCAGATGCAGAAGCTTATCAGTAAATGCAGAAACCACATCTCAGATGTACCTTCCCGTCTTGCTGGGCTAACAAGCAGGTGGAAGCCAGGGAATGTGGTATTAGTAGAAAGGAGAAGCTACCCTTTGTTTCAGCAGAGCCCAGTCCCCAGCACTCAGTACCAGATTCCTCACACATGCGCTGGTACCCAGATGCAGTCAGCAAAGGCATCCTGGAGCTGATGCCCAGGCTGGAAAGTGATACTAAAAGGCCAGGCAGAAGGAGGGGTGTCAGGAGACAGATTGGTGGGGTCCCTGTCTGCTCTGCAGGACTGAAGGGCCTGGGGACCCTGGGGTGAGTCCCAGCCGAGACCAAACACTGGAGTGTGGTACCCTCTGCCCTCCACGTCCACAGAGACGGCTCTGCACATGGAGGGCTCTGGAATCCTATGGATTAACTCAAATATTCAAATGGCTTTCATTTTTTGTGTTTTTCTTTCCCATTTTTCTTTTCTTTTTTTTTTTGAGTTGGAGTCTCACTCTGTTGCCCAGGCTGGAGTACAGTGGCATACTCACGGCCACTCCAGCATCAACCTGCTAGGCTCCGGCAATCCTTCCAAGTAGACAGAACTACAGGAGTGTACTACCACACCCGGCTAATTCTTGATTTATTGTAGAGATGAGGTCTCGCCAAGTTGCCCGGGCTGGTCTCAAACCTGCGGGCTCAGGCAATCCACTCGCCTCGGCCTCCCAAAGTGCTGGGGTTACAGGCTGTGCCACTGAACCTGGCCCCCATTTTTCAATGAAAATAAATTACTTAAAAAATCTGCAGCTAGCCGGGCTCGGTGGCTCAGCCTGTAATCCCGCGCCTTGGGAGGCTGAGGTGAGTGGATTGCCTGAGCTCACGGGTTCGAGACCCGCCTGGGCAGCGAGACCTCATCTCTACAATAAATCAAAAAATCAGCCAGGCATGGTAGCGCATACCTGTAATTCCGGCTACTTGGAAGTCTGATGCAGAAGGATCGCCAGAGCCCAGCAGGCGAGGCTGCAGTGGCCGGGAGCAGCCACTGCACTCCAGTCTGGGCAACTGAGTGAGACTCCAACTCAAAAAAAAAAAATCTGCAGCTATTTATTTAAAAAGGACCATTACTTATAGCACAATGTGCATAAATTACCAAACCCACTAGAACCGATTTGAGAGTACCTGCCAGCTGTTAGGAGACACATCCTGGGCAAGCAGGAGGCTAGGGATGTGAACTGAGCCTTCACCCACATGCAAAAGCTATGCAGGTCAGGACACATGGCAGCCCCAAAGCCTGAGGGCCTCTGCCTGCAGATTCTTTCCTGAATCGAATGAGGGGTTGTTCATGCTGGCTGTTCTCTGCAATCCAAAAATGACGTCCAGCCCTTGGCAACACATGCCGCCCTGGACTGGGATGCTGCCTGGTACACCTGCGGTGTCACTGGGTTCCCCAGCTAGGGACAGAGCCAGGGACTCCATGGAGCGAGGGAGTTTTCGGAGTAGTCTCAGAAAAGCACATAGAACATCTCTCCTCTACCTGCCCTTATGAAGTCTCCTTGGCATGTTTGTTGGGTGGCCATGAGCACATGCAGCAGAGTCATGAAGAGCCGTGGGTAAAGACAGCTCCGCGTCTCAGTTGGGAGAGGGCTCCTCCCAGAGCACCTCTGCCTCATGAAGTGTGACCGTGCAGATCGGTCACCACGCGGCCTATGCCGGGGCCTGCTGACCCATCCTTGGTATGTGGCGGGTCTGCTCCCAGTACCTGGTTTCCAGGCGGGGCTCTGAGAGGCTGACGGCCCCTCACTCGTCCTGCAAGGACCCCTGGAGGACTAGCCTCGTGTGCACACTCCCAGAAACCTGGATGCCACTGGGTGGCCTGGCTATGCCACAGCTCCCAGGGCCACCAGGTTGTCCTAGAGCAGTAAGAGGCAGGCCCTAAGGTGAAGTCTCACTCTCGCCACCACCAGAACCACACAGTGGGTAGCACGGCCTCGGCATGGCGCTGGCAGGCAGATGAGGCCCTGGTGAGGGGCCCTGGCCTGGATCTGAAACCTCAAGGACTTACTGAGACCCCACTCAGTGGACCATGGAGGCTAAGCCCTTGCCGGGCACCTGCCTCGGGGAGAGTTGCCTCCAACCTAGTGCTGGGAAAGAGGAGAGGGCACTGCTCTCCACAGGGTAAAGACAACCTACTACAGATGAAGATTTGTGTGTGTGTGTACACACCCCTCTCAGGGAACCCACCGTGCCCCCCCACTCTGACAGGCTCTGTGCTCTGCCAGCTGTCACAACAGGAGCCATGCTTGTCACTTCCAACCTGGCATCACATGACGGCCCAGAGCCCAGGATGCCACTGCATGGCACAGCCAGCCTCACTCCACGTCTACCCTGACACAGTGCCTCTGGACTCCAGGGGCACAGCTTGCAGGGGATCACGTGAGGGAAAGGGAAGGCCTCACCCGAGGGTCTCATGGGTCTGAGGAGGGCTGAGGCCCACATCCTACATAAGGGACCAAGTAGAGAAGCATCACATGATGAACTTTAACTGTGGAAGCTCACATATAAAATACATATATTCACAAAATACAGTCAAGAAAACGGAGGATCCTACCCAATGTGGTCACTAGCCTCCAGGAGGGATACACCCACTAAGAGACAAGGCGAGGCCTTTCTGGGAGCGACACAGCACATCAAGGGCCGTGCAATGGCCTTTGTGACCTGGTGAAGGCTGAGGAGGTGCACTGCTCGCTGTGGCCCCTGAGTACACATGGCGAGGAATCTCGGACCTCCTGGTTTCCTGCCTCATGAGGACGCCCACCCTGAAGAGGGAGCCTGGGAGGAGCCCGAGAGAGACAGCCAGGGGCTGGCACCTCTAGGCCCCCATGGGTACACAGGGGCAGTCAGGCCCCTTGGAGCCTGAGAAAGCCCGGAGGCCACTCACCATCCGCACGCGTTTCAGCCGTTCCTCCAGCTTCTCCTCAGCCTCCCGTGTGCGCTGCACAGCCTCCAGCCGGTGGATGAGCTCCTCGGCGAACTTCTGCGGCTCCACACGGATCTCCTTGGGTACCCGGTATGTGCGCTGTGAGGACATAGCCGTGAGACAGGCCACCTCCATGGCACAACCTCCATGGCGCGACCCCACCTGTGCCCATGGGCACATGGGTCCAAGGGCTACACAAGCAGGGGGTATGGAGGAAACTGCCTAGGAATCTCCATTTACTTAAGGAACATGCCCACTCTCCCCATCAGTGGGGAACCACCTTCCTCACCGCCTCCTTTGTTCCTTGCTGACCCAGAAGAGTCAAAGGTTTGGTAGGGCAGGCTCGGAACCCGCACGAGCCCCAGCCACACGGAGAGGCTCCCAGCATGACTGCTCACTGCTTGGGTCTGGGCGCAAAGACCACAACAGGTAGTGCAGCATAGCCAGGAAGCCCCAACAGGTACAAGCCCATAGTACCTCAGGGCTCACCTGTCCCTCACAGGACATCCCACATGGCTTGGCTCTGCTCTCGATAGTGCCCTGGCACATGTAGGGAGCAGGGATGGGACTCGGGGCACATTATAGGGATGGAGATCCCCAAAACCCAGAATGAGAAAAAAAAACCTGGGGATGATGGAACTCTGGAAGCCTGTCCTTTTTTTTTTTTTGAGTTGGAGTCTCACTCGGTTGCCCAGACTGGAGCGCAGTGGCCGCTCCCGGCCACCGCAGCCTCAACTTGCTGGGCTCCGGCGATCCTTCCGCCTCAGCCTTCCAAGTAGCTGGAACTACAGGTGCGCGCTACCACGCCCGGCTGATTTTTTGATTTATTGTAGAGATGAGGTCTCGCCAAGTTGCCCAGGCGGGTCTTGAACCCGTGAGCTCAGGCAATCCACTCACCTCAGTCTCCCAAGGTGCGGGATTACAGGCTGAGTCACCGAGGCCAGCTTTTTTTTTTTTTTTTTAAAAGATAAAAGTCTATAACACATTTTATAGTAACACACTGTGTAACTTTCCTGGGGGGGGGGTACTTTATTTTCAAATAATCTTAAACAGTGGCAAGAGTAAAACAATGACCTCCTGTCCACCTTCACCCAGATGCCCAAGTGCTGAGGCTCTGCCACATCTACCTTGTCATCCTTCACTGACGTATGTGCACACATGCTCTCACACACATGTGCTCACACACACTCTTTTCTGAACCAGTCAGGGTACACTTAGCAAAAGCAAAGTCATTCCACCACAGTACAATTCTGATGGAAAAATGGACCCTGATATGACACTATCTCATAGCAGATCTTATTCCAATTTTTCCAGGTGCCTCAGTAACATCCTGTAGAGCAGTGCATTTCTAAAATCTAAGCTGCCAAGGTCTAAGTGGGGAAGGACAGACCACCGGGTAGCTTCCATGTTACAGGGACAGGGTGGCAGCCGAGCGGAGGCCAAGGGCACATGGGGTGGAAGGCAACACCCATTGCATGGCAGCCCCTCCTGTCTTCCTGCCTTGGCTCTGGCAGGTATCTGCTCTGTGCCTGCTGTTTCTCATCCATAAGATGAAAATAATGGTCGTTTCCATGCCTCAGAAACATGGTGTGAGGTCCTGTAATCCTGTAATTTAGGAGGCCAAGGTGAGTGAACTGCCCACAGGTTCAAGACCAGCCCAGGCAATTTGGCGAGACCTCGCCTCCACAAAAAATAAAAAATTAGCTGGATGTGGTAGCACGCGCCTATAGTTCCGGCTGCTTGGAAGGGTGAGGCAGAAGGATCGCCTGAGCCCAGCAGGTCGATGCTGGGGTGGCCCTGAGTGTGGTACTGCACTCCAGTCTGGGAGACGGAGTGAGACTCCAACAACAATAACAAAAGAAACATGGTGTAAGGTTAGCCCAGAAAGTCACAGGGAGGACACCTGTAATCCCAGCTCAGAGAACACGTGGTGGTCGGGGCTCAGACAGAGGCTGGGATTGGAGCCAGGGGCAGAGGTGACTGCAGAAACTGTGACAAGCTTCACTTTGGGGGCTTGAAGCCTCACTCTGGAGCCAAGGGCAAGCCTAGATCACTGACTGATGCACTGGGGTGAGAGAGGTTTCTGCCAAGTCTGGGCTGTGCCTACCAACAGGTAGGGGTCTGTCCTGGATGGACTCAAGGGGGCCAGACCCAAGGAAGGAGCGGCTGGGGTATCAAGTGCTTCTGGAAGACCATCCTCCCCAACTGAGGCGTGTGCCTGTGTGGCATGGGGGGTGTGGGTAGCAGGATGTTCAGACGGACAGAGAGGCCCTTACCACCACTCTTTCCTGCTGAGCCTGTGCTGGCCGGTGGGCCCAGGGACCTGGGGACCAGGAGCCCTGCTGGCTGTCTGTGCATAGTGCCCAGTGAGGAAACACAGGAGCAGAGTGATACGCACAGGGCTGATTGCTAGTGGCACCGCAGGGACCCCACATAGGCATGGATGCATCCACATATACTGGGAGCCCATACAGAGAAGGGCTCATGGTCTGACCAGTCGGCAGCACAGAGACTAAGAACAGCATGGAGCGCCCATACCCAGACCCTCCACAAGCTCGGTAAGGGGCGCTCCATGCTTCCTCAGTGTGTTTCAGTCATGCTGACAAGTCCACTCTGGAAGGAGGACTTCAGGCAGCCCAGTAGACTGCTGTGTCACCAAGATTCTAGAACAGCAAAACTGTCAGATCATCAGATCTACGGAAGAAGGACAACTTTTCAGCTTTCAGGAATAGGAAAAAAATCAAAGGAAAAAGCCACTAAATCAAAAATTGAAACTTTTGAGGAATTAAAAAAGCCAAAAATGTAAACAGAAGAGGCCTTTCCCCCAGTTGTAGGGATTTCAGGGCCAGGTGCAGCAGAGCTAGGGTTGCGCCTGCCACATTCGCAGGCCTGTTCCTCGGGATCCCCTACGAGCCATGGGGGCTCCTGAGTGTCACAGGCCCACCAGAAAAATGGCGTTTCTCAAGCAAAACAAAGACTCTCCAGCAGAAGCAGGAGCACTATGGGACAGAATGGGCGAGCTGTCACTCACTTTTCAAAAAGCAGATACCACCAGTGCCTGGTTTAGGCAAAATCTGTGCCAGAGTTGGCTGGAGGTGACAACATGTCCAAGCATCCTTTTCTCAGACAAGCCAATGATTTGGAAATCAAAATCGACAGGAATGCAAGAAGACTCTTAGAAATCCTGGCTGAGAGTGTACCAATGACCCTGAAGCACCCATGGTCCCACACAGCGGCCGTGAACAACACAGTTCACTCTCAGATGCTGTGAGCACTGTGGGTAGAAGATGTTTCTCTCTTTTTTTTTTTTTTGAGTTGGAGTCTTACTCTGTCGCCCAGACTGGAATGCAGTGGCCGTTCCCGGCCACCGCAGCCTCAACCTGCTGGGCTCCGGCGATCCTTCCGCCTCAGCCTTCCGAGTAGCTGGAACTACAGGCGTGCACTACCACGCCCGGCTAATTTTTGATTTATTGTAGAGACGAGGTCCCGCCAAGTTGCCCGGGCGGGTCTCGAACCCGCGGGCTCAGGCAATCCACTCACCTCAGCCTCCCAAGGCGCGGGATTACAGGCTGAGCCACTGAGCCCAGCAGAAGATGTTTCTCTTATCTCCCAAGAAGTCTTTCCTGTCTGGCATCAACAAGTCAAAATAAGGAAAGATAACGATCATGTCCATCAACAGGTGCCCTGTGCAGATAGGGGAATGGGCTGCATCCCCCAACCCACGCAGCCCTGTGACATGTAGCCCAGTGAGGCCCAGATCAGGAGACACGACCACTACATATCCAGGAGGTGAAGATCTGGGAGCTCTGCAGCATGGAGGCCACGTGGTGACTCTGACCGTTCAGTCATAGCAAGGCTGATCCCTCAAATGCCATCGTAAACAAAGCAGTGCTCACAGTCATGCAGCATTGGGGAGGAAAGATGCCACCAGGCTTCTGCCAAAACCAGAAGGCCATGCAGGACCAGGCCTGGGCTCCCAGTTGCTGGGAGGCTCAGAACTGCTGTGTCCCAGAGACATACCTGGCTTCACAACAATGAAAGGGCTGCCAGGTGGGCACTGTGCAAGGAACGCTTCTTGCCACCATGCGCAAAGTGTATTCCTCAGGGGGCAGTGGGGGCTCTTCTGAACCGACAGTGCCTGATGGGCCCCAAAAGCCGCCTGCTTCTCTCCCCCTCCAGTCTGCAGGACCTGATCACGTGCAGGCGTCGCTCAGACCCCACACATGCGCCTAGAGCTGAGTCAAGCCCAAAGGAAGCCAGCAAGTGCCCTTCTGCAGGTCAGGGCCACCGCAGACCCATGTGGAACAGGGAAGACGCACAGGTTCACAGGGACAGGAGGGCCACAGGCCTTGGACCACAGAACTGGCACTTACAGGGATATGAGGCAGAGGCACCCGCCCGTTGACCTGGACGCTTTCCTGCATCTCCCTGCGGTGCTGTCTGCGGGTCCTGTATGGGGGGATCCCATCCCTGTTGGAGAAAGAAGCAGCCATTAGCTCAGAGGACGTGAGACCCCATGCAGCATGACATGGGTCCCGGCTGACCACCAGTCAGCAGGGCGACAGCCACAACTCACGGTGCAAGGCCCACGTTCTCGCCACCAATATGTGTGTGTAGTCACACACATGTACACACAGATAATGCACACCCATGTGTGCAGAGAACACATGCACATTCTTATGCACATGCTCACAGGCATGGGCACACGTGTGCACTCATATGGCAAGTGCATATGTACAAACACAAGCATTCACACATGACAGCAGTGCCAGAAGCGTAGTCACACTTGTTCTTCCAGCTGTTATTTCTTTTCTTTGAGTCAGAGTCTCACTGTCGCCCAAGCTGGAGTGTAGTGGTGCACTCATGGCTACCATAGCCTCCATCAGCTGATCCTTCTGCCTCAGCCTTTCAAGTAGCTGGAACCACAGGCATGTGCCACCACCTCTAGCAAATTTTTCAATTTACTGCAGAGATGAGGTCTACCCAGGTTGCCCAGGCTGGTTTCAAACCCCTGGCTCAGGCAATTATTTCACCTCCGTCTCCCAAAGTGCCAGGATTACAGGTGAATCACTGCAAGCGGCCCCAGCTGGTATTTCTTGAGCTTTTCGACAGAAGTTAGTTGTGCTGGCCTGCTTTCTAAGGTCAGATAGCTAAAACAGTTTTTATGTTTTCAAAGGGTGGGAGAAGAACACATGACAGGTTGAATGTGGATACAAAGCCTCCCGTGTTGACTGCTGGCCCTGTGTGAAACTTGTCTGCCGAACTCTGCTTCAGGGCCTGGACCAGAGCACAGTGTGCCCATCAGGGCCCATGGATGGGTGACTGGGCCAAGTGCTGCTCCCCTCCAGGAACAGGCAGAGCGGCATGACCTCAGGGAGGCATGAGGCCATGTTCTCACTTCACATGTTCTCCTCACAAACCCCTCAGGAGACCATCAAAGATACTAAGTGAAATGACAGCTGGTCTTGAGTAAACAGCACACCCCAGGGTGCAGATAATGCTTGCATGGCCATCATGTACTCAAGACAGCCATGGGCTTAGCACACAACTTGCCGCTCGGGTGCGTTCCTGAAGGCCACCCTCTTCCACCACAAAAGCTGCCCCAGGGACCAGCGTAGTGTGATGATGCCTGCCAGAGCTACTGGGAGATGTGGTGTGACTAGGGGAACCTGGGCCAGGCTGTTCAGTGGGCATCCCTGACCATTAGAACACCGCTGGGTGCTGAAGGCACTGGTGGGGCCAAGCTGTAGTCAGGGCTCAATGACAGTGTGTCACGAGGATGGGGAGTCAGGACAAGTGAGTCCAGACTTCCATCAATGTCTTTAATATGCCCAGGTTGGCCCAGATGTCCTGGAGCCACTACTTGTCTGCTTCTTGTTTTTGTTTCTTGGACTGGATGCTTGAAAGCTCCTCGGCCTCTGGGGACCAAGCACCGTCCCACTCCTACATAGATAATCTAGGACTCTGAGCACCTTGTAAACAGCCTGAGTGGCATGGAAGGTGGGGTCGGCACCCTCCAGGAATGATGAAGGCACCACCTTCCTCTCGCTGTTCATGTCTACAGAAGTATTTGCAGCCTTTTACATCCCAAGTTATTCGATGCTTCAGTACAAACCAAGATGAACAGAATATAAGGAAAAAAATAAAGATATGTTTATTTTAGATCCTCCCTTTAGGAAACATATGTCCTTTTCTTAGAGAGAATTAAGAGATTTTTTGAGAAAACTGCGTTGGCAGATGAAGGTTCACTGTAGTAACAGCTCCGGGAAGAAGGAAGCCCAGCACCACGGATGTGCCTGTCTGTGCTCTCTGGGTGCAACTGGCTTGGCACTTCACGTTCACGGTAGGTTCCAACTCCAGTAAGTCCAAGTAAGATGTGGCTAAAAGCATGTCAACATTTGGTCTGGAGGATTTAGATGACAAGAGAATGAAATAAACGAGAAGCATCACACACAGCTCAGCCCAAGGGGGCAGGAGCCGCTGTGGCATCACCCCCAAGCGGTTATTGTGGTGGGAAAACAGAGTGAGACACCTGGCCATGTGGGCTGCTGGATCCAGTTCAGAAACAGCATAACCACCTGTTTTGTTCACTTAAGAGGCAGGTGGCGGAACAATGTTTAAAGACAGACATATAGTCATAAAAAGAGGGGCAGGACCCACCGACTGGAAAGAAGTTCTTTCTCCTTTTTTTTTTTTGAGTCAGAGTCTCACTCTGTCACCCAGGCTAGAGTGCAGGAGCATGCTCATGGCCACTGCAGTCTTGACCTGCTGGGCTCAGGTGATCCTTGCAAGTAGCTGGAACTACAGGCACGTGTCACCATGCCTGGCTAATTTTTTGATTTTTATTGTAGAGACAAAATCTCGCCAAGGTGCCCAGGATGGTCTCAAACCCATGGGCTCAGGCAATCTTCGCCTCCACCTCCCAAAGTGCTAGGATTACAGGTGTGAGCTACCCCACACCTGGTTGCCCTTTCTCCTTCTTATCAAAACACACCTGCTTCTCCAAACTCTTCACATGAAGAAACAGCCTGGGCAGGGAAGATGTCACGGACCTGCTGACAATGCTGGGAGTGGTGGGACATGTAGGGGGGCCTGTGAGTAGTGGACAGTGGGCCTGAGCTGCTGGTGAGTCACGGCCACAGGCCTCCAATGCCCTGAAGAGATACTAGGGCCCCCAGGACTCGACCCCCAGCCTTGGCTATTACAGCTAGCCAGGTAACACATGGTGAACAGACCCGGGCAGGGGCAGGTCTGAGCTTCATGGGTAAACAAGCCAAGACCCAAAAAGCCTCCAGCAGGCTGGACACTGAGGTGACAAGGCTGTGTTCATGCCATCCGATGCTCACTGTGCACTTGGGCCCTAAAAAGCCACCTGTGAGACACAGGAAGGCAGCCATGAAGCAAGCACGTGCCTACCGAGAGGCGTCCCTGATGATGTGACAATGAAAGAATAACCTACCAACTGTCACCACAAGGGCAGGGGACCAGAGCTGCACCAAGAGACATGGGTTCAGATGCGATGTGCACGGGCTGGGCTGTCCCTGGGCCACTGAGGCGCTTGGCCCACAGTAGCCACAGAGACTTCCTGAACCCCTGCTCTTGGTCCCAAGCTGAGCAGATGACAAGGACAGCTCACCTGGTGGGACAGGGCCCTATACCATAACAGTGTAGACAGAAAAGCTGCCATTCAGGGACCATGTCTCTTGACACACCACTGGAGAGGCAATGGCTTGTGCTCATCTTTAAACTGAAAGCCCAGGACTATGAAAACCAGAGAAAACTGGAATCTCACGTGGTCCAGCCAGGCTCCCTGGAGTCTCCTATTCTGAGGTTCTAGAAGTACTGGTCGCAGAGAGAAGCAGAGCTCGAGGCTTAGTTCAGGTTAGGGTTCCTGTGTACCAGACGCACTAACACCACATTTGGGGACTGGAAACGGTTTTTGTGATGATGACAAAACCCAGGCAGTACTGCAGCGCCCAACGGCGCGGGACTTACACGCTGCTGTCCGTGAGGGATAGGGTGTCTGCGTCGCTGGACAGGCTCTGCTGCTCACTGTCGTTGGCGCTGGTGGCCGGGGCCAGGGCGTAGCCAGAGTTGACGTAGTAGGGATTGATGGGCTCCCGCCAGGATCCATACCTGCAAACAAGCAGGACACATTAGTAGCAGCTGCTGACAGCATCTTGCTGGCTGTTTCAGATCATCTGAGCACCTTAATGCACAAATTAGAAATGAAAGCAATTTGGGGAAAAGATACAGCAGAGAGGGCCAGAATCAACACCTCTCCTCCCGATCCTGCCCTTTCAGCGGGACAGGTAAAAGCCCTGGGCGTCTTTCCAGCTCTTCTCTCTGCTTCAGGTTGTTCTGGTGCACATACAGAGACTGTCATCTGGGTTTGTTCTCGCGTGTATAACTGAAACGAGAAGCAGATGCTCTGCTCCCTCCTCTACAGGGCAACTCAGAGAAGGCCCACAGTCCCTGCTGTTAGCCACAAAGTGAAGCTGGCCTCCCAGTGGCCCTCGGGTACTTCCAGCAGCAGAAGATGCCGGGTCAGGGTGAGGCCCATGGGGGCTGCAAGTCTGTGTACCACCACAGGGCCATGTTACCTCCTGCTGCCCTACCTGGCCCCAGCACTCTGGGGACTCACCCCATCTGCACCATGTGATTAGTCAGAAAATGATACTTCGCTTCAATCTGCATCTCCCTGATGAATAGTCAGGTTGGCGGTTTGGGGTATTTGCCATTTAAATGTCTTCCTCCTTATCTGTTCATACTATCTGTCCCTGCTCTGTGGGGTAGCTTATGAGTTTCTTCGTGATTACAGAAGTCTTCTTTTTTTTTTTGAGTTGAAGTCTCACTCTGTCACCCAGACTGGAGTGCAGTGGCCACTCCCGGCCACCGCAGCCTCGACCCGCTGGGCTCCGGCAATCCTTCCGCCTCAGCCTTCCAAGTAGCTGGAACTATAGGTGCACGCTACCACACCCGGCTAATTTTTTGATTTATTGTAGAGATGAGGTCTCGCCAAGTTGCCCAGGTGGGTCTCGAACCCACGGACTCAGGCAATCCACTCACCTCGGCCTCCCAAAGCACGGGATTACAGGCTGAGCCACCAAGCCTGGCCAATTACAGAAGTCTTTAAATATCCTTGCCATTAATCTCTGATTATACATGTGAAAGGTATTTTCTCCACGTCCATGATGGCAGTCTCCACTGCACCAGTGTGAAGCTGACATCACCACGCTGAGTCCTCTGAGGTCGGAGGCAGATCAACAGCAAGATGGCTGCACACACGCCTATGCGCAGTGTGATGCGATGGGCAGGAGCCCACAGAAGGGCACTCCAGATGCACATGGACCAGGGCAGTAGCCCAGATCCAAGGATGTGCACCACTCTCCAGCAGCACACAGGGCCTACTCACAGCTGCCCAGCCCAGAGCTGCTCTGGGGCCCAGGGGCACTAGCACACTCACGGGTGCCCCAGAGGAAATGCCCACACAGGGAAGTGGCATGGTAGCCCACACAGGCTACGCTGGCAGTCAAGGTTTCAACGTGGCCAGATAACTGATGATTGGGTGGGAGGTGGTTCAAACATCGCCTGAGCTCTAAGACAGGCCACCCTGTCCCCGCCCCTGTAGCAGGCTTGCTTCTGTGGAGGCTCCAGCCTAGCCTAGGGAGCCCAGGAGCTGAGCTGAGGCAGACACGGGAATGACTCAGAGGGTCCCAGGGATCTGCCTGTCCTCAGGACCCCACCTAGGCCTCGAGACTGCATCAGTCCCACAGACCCAGGTAGAGAGTGCACGATGCTCACACAGACTCGTGAGCTCTCGTCAATACCGCTTGTCTAGAGCAGTGGTAAGATGGGTGCCCTCACCAGAACCCAGGTTGGCATAACATGAAAAGCATCCTGGAAGCGGCCCCACAAAGAGGACCTCTGCAGAGAGTAGGGCGGGCCAGGGGAGGGGAGGATCCCCCCCAACACTCCCCCATCGGCCTGCCGCGAGCTGCCTCAGCCTCCCGCCTCAGACCAGCTGGCTTCAGGTGGGAGACCAGCCTCAACCTGTAATCTGAGCCGTGTCCATGGCAGGATGCTGGATCCAGACAGCAGGGACTGCACCAGCAGATACCACAGATACGTCACCGCTGGTATCCTGGAAGGTAAAATTGAGGGGTGTGGCTCGAGATCTTGCCTGTGTCTCCCAGGAGCATGAGCAGGTCTCCATCACCCCTGGGGACAAATGGGAAGAGCACAAACCACTCCAAGAAGCTGGAACACAGCACCCGGGGAAGAACCTGAGTGTGCAGGCCGTGGACAGCCCTGCCACAGAGCCCCACAGCCCACAGGAGTCGTCTGCACTGATCAGCAATCTCCATGGGGTGGAGTCTCTGGCCGCGTGTCAGAGTGGTCAATGATCATTATATGGGTCGGCATCAACTACAGGACCACCAGCCTGTGGACTCAAGTTCCGGGACAGAAGCTGCCCCCCACTCGATGCCTTCTGGTGGCTCCTCTCAGGGCCCTTTTGGAAAGGAGGCAGTGGCCTGAGTAAGTGCACATGGAATGGGGAGAGACGCCTGAGACAGGAGCAAGCCTGAGGGAGACTCAGCGCAGGCAACATGTGGCCTGGGTAGCGAGGCATAGCTTCCCAATGATGCGCCAAAGTGTCCTGCCAGACTTGTGGGGTGAACAGAAGCTGGACAAGCACCACTGAGCACAGGCGCCCGGGTAACCTCATGAGACACCTGCTGGCAGGGGTCAGCCCTACTCTATACCAGCTTACCACACAGACAGCAACCCCCTGGCAGCTACTGTGACAAGAGACCACCTACACCAGAAGGAGGAAGCGGTGCCCAAGGGAGCCGCCAGCACCCAGACACTCCAGGACCCTTGTATCTGACCCATGGAGGCCAAACAGCCACGACGAGCGTGCTACAGAAGCAGAGCGCACTGTGCCCACAATGGCAGCCTCCCTTGACAGGCCCTGTGTGAGTCTTTAGGGAAACATGCGCCATCGTGCCCTCGGTTCCTAAGCCCCACATCCCTCAGAGGATGAAGGGAGTCAGCAGCCCTTAGAGCCAACAGTCCTGAAGACACCAAGGTTGGCAGAGCCAAGCCCTGTCTGGTGAGTCCTGACATGCACCCGCTCCCGGGAAGCCAGCACCATACCTGCCACAGTGGGCACAGCCAGTACCCCTAAGTTTTCCGTGCTGCCTGAAGCTCATCCATCGTGACCCTGCACACCCTACCCCAGCTGTCACTGAAAGTTCACTCGCCTTTCTAGAATTCGACATAAACCGTATCGCGTAGGGAGGGGTGTCCCCCCTCTGCCCTGGCTCCCTCCACTCTGCCCGTGTCTATGATGCACCCACATGGCCATGTGGCCCACAGCACGGCCCTTCCACACCGACAGCATGCTGCAACAGAGTGTACCACGGTGTTTCCACCACTGCCTGGAAGTACAACTCTGAGTTGTGGTAGCGCGCCTCCAACAAGAAAGGGCTTCATAGCTGACGGAGTCTGCCGTGACACTGGCAGCTGGGCAGAGGCCAGTGCCCTGCCACCAGCAGGAGTGAGAGTCTGGACGTGGACCAGGTGCCCAGGGTTCCCAGGCCAGAGCTCTTCCCATTCCCTCAGGGACCACCGCAGGAACAGGAGGCCCCCACGCAAATCCAGTGACAGACGCTGCCAACCCTCAGCCTGCGCTTGGCCCAGTGCTTCTCAGGCATCTGCTCTGCGCCCAGGCTCTGTGGCTCTAGGAGGAGGATGAGAGGCCAGTCTCCCCACTATGTGGCCACTCTGTGTGAGTTCTGTGTTCCCCACACGACAGAGGTCAGTGACCAGAAGAAACAACCGAGGCGAGGCACTCAGAGAGGGAAGGTGGGCATCTCTTCCCTCCCAGCTAATAACAGCACAGAGGCTGCAAGGTGCCACATGCCAGACACGGACCGACAGAAAGGCCACATGTTTGGCTTTTGGCAGCAGGGACAATTTAAATGCCTGCTGCCCACATTCACGCACTCTTACACAACAAATAAATCACCCTTATACCCAAAGTCACAAAGTTTATATCTAAAAACATCATCAAAATTAGGCCAATGTCAGCTATAAAAATTTCTAGCCAGGTGCAGTGGCTCGCCTGTAATCCCAGCACTTTGGGAGGCAGAGGTGACAGGACTGCCTGAGCCCAGGGGTTTGAGACCAGCCTGGGCAACTTGGTGAGACCTCGCCTCTACAATAAATTAAAAAAATTAGCCGGGCATGGTGGTGCATGCCTGTAGTTTCAGCTACTAGGAAGGCTGAGGCAGAAGGATCGCATGAACCCAGCAGGTCGAGGCTGCAGTGGCCGTGAACATGACCCTGCACTCCAGCCTGGGTGATAGAGTGAGACTTCAACTAAAAAAAAAAAATCTATTTTACTTCCTCCTGGACAATGTGGCCTCTATGAAAGGATGAGTCAGCCAGGCTCGGTGGCTCAGCCTGTAATCCCGCGCCTTTGGGAGGCTGAGGTGAGTGGACTGCCTGAGCCCGCGGGTTTGAGACCCGCCTGGGCAACTTGGCGAGACCTCATCTCTACAATAAATCAAAAATTAGCTGGGCGTGGTAGCACGTGCCTCT